TCCTCCCCAGGAGCTCCGTGTCGGCAGGTTCTCAGCAGAAATGCGGGTGCTCATTTATGCCATTTATAGTAGCTAGAGAAGATGTTATCGCAGCTTGAGAACGGAAATTAAAATATGTATCCTTCAGGTGCAAATCTACTGTACTTACAGTTTTACTGTTTCTCAGCAGGGGGCTCCATTAATCTTGTAACAGTGAAATTCCTAAGGAAATTAATTCCCTCCAGTTGGGGTTATTCTCAACTGGCCTTTGGAGGCAGAGTGATTGGGATTTAGGAGTCTCTCTTAAAAGAGAGGAAGCATTGGCCATTTTCCTTGAGTAACAACACTTCTTAATGCAATGCTTTGCCCATTAAAAACCCTGTGTGTCTCTCGGCTCCTTGAGGGAGTGTTTACAAAAACCTAGCCAGGTGGGAATTCAATTCCAAGTCCTCCCCTATAACGACCAGGTGTTTTTCTCCACCTGGGTTACCTGTGCCCACCTAGTACTCAGCACTGTGCCCTGTTGGGGAGTAACGCTGGGCCCCAGGAGGGAATGATGTGTCACCAAACGTGGGATGGCTAAAATATTTCCTCACCCATTCAGGAGCTGTGAAATGTTAGCTGTCATTAAAAATAATTACACCTCGGGCTTCCCTGGTGGCGCAGTGGTTAGGAGTCCACCTGCCGATGCAGGGGACACGGGTTCGTGCCCCGGTCCGGGAAGATCCCACATGCCGCGGAGCGGCTAGGCCCGTGAACCACGGCCACTGAGCCTGCGCGTCCGGAGCCTGTGCTCCGCAACGGGAGAGGCCACAACAGTGAGAGGCCTGCGTACCGGGAAAATAAAATAAAATAAAATAAAATAATTACACCTCAGCCACACAAACACATCCCTTTTGAACTGGGGTCCATTCACAGACACAGGGTGCAGCACCTTTGCTGCCAGGAAGGCCCCCTGCAGCCCTCTCTGAAGCTTGTGCTCTGCCAGGCCAGGACTTCAGCCGCCAGGACCCAGAGCCTTAGCTTCCTGGTCCCCATGGTCCCAGCCCCTGAAGTGCCACACAGCCTTCTCAGCAAAACCTAATTGCCCCATCCTTTGCAGGGCTGTGCTGCTTGGAGAGCTGTCCCTGGTTCCTGACCAAGTGGGCCGGAGAGCCCGGAGAGGCCCCTGCCCGGGGCCACGAAGTGTCACTGGGTTCCCTAGGGGGAGCCCTCTGCCCCAAGAGGGTATAGGATGTAGCTAAATGATGCTTACATATGGGTCAGCAGAATGTCAGTGTCTGGGATTAACCCACACTGGGGACAAACGCCAAAATCAGCCCCAGCATCTTGATTTCCTGTGGTTTTGAGTCTTCATGCACTAAGTTCTGTATGATAACGATGAGTTTTCCCCTCTGTGCCTGAACACGCTCAGAGAAACAGAGGACTGGGCTCTCTAAAGTATGAGCAGCGTGCAGGATGGGGTGCAGCGGGGGCAGGGGGAGAGCTTGGGGCGGTACAGGGAAGGCCATGGAATGAGTCCCGGCACTGCCCTTTCCCTGCTGTGGCTTTGGGCAATTTCCTTAGCTATAAAGTGGGGCAGGTGTAACTGAGCAGGACCCTATGAGGCCTTCCCGGGACAGAACTGCACCCCGCCTCCCATGTCCTCTGCCTGACTCTTGTCTGCAGAAAAACTTTAGCCTCCTAGGCCTTGCCCGAGTTCCAAAGAATAAATCTAATCAGAGAAGTGAGAAAATGCAGAGAGAAAGGAAAATGGTCAAGCAAGACAAAATAATAGTTTAAACAAAGTCCAGGGCCTTTAGTTCCTCCTCAAGGGCTATAGATAATATTCTGAGCCACGTCCTTGGAGCTGTTTTGCAGATACTGAAGCCCCCTGCAGGTGGAAGAAGTTAACTGCACGCTGCCCACAAGCACGCAGACCCTAGACCAGCTGGAACCAGAAGGTGGATGATGGTGACTCCCGATGACCTCACCACCAAGCAATCAGAAGTATGTCCACGAGCTGATCACGCACCCCACAACCCTCCTCCCTTACCCTGTCTTTAAAAACCTTTTCCTGAAAGCCTTCGGGGAGTTTGGGCCTTTTAAGCACTAGCTGCCTGGACTCCTTGCTTGGCTCCTGCAATAAATGCTGCACTTTTCTTCACCACAACCTGGGGTCAGTAGACTGGCTTTACTGTGGGTGGGTGAGAGGACCTAAGTTTGGTTTGGTAACACAGGCAGTGATGTTTTTGCATCATGATCTGGAAGCAGCAAGGACTTTGGAAAGCTGAAAAGCACTATATAGCTGTGTACACCCTTATCTACCTGTAACTCAGATGTGACAGCCCCCCAAAATGTGGCTTGGGCTCAGGGCTGAGTGGAATGGTCTTTGTTGCGAAATCAGAGCATTTTAAAGCTCAGAGATTCACTTGCTGAACATTAGGCCTGTTGATATCAATAGTGATAACAGCAGAAAGGGCAGGAGGCAGAACCAGAAAGATTTTTAGGGAGTTTTCCCAACTTTATTTTTAAGGTAGGGAGCATGCTCTCTAGCTGGTATATCCTGCTTTCAGCAAATTCCATTTGAAGAAGGAAAAATCAGGATTTTTAACAGTTACATTAGATGGGTGATTGTTGCATTTTTTGAAAAAGATTCACTATTGCACATTTCCCTAGTGCATTACAATTTCATTATTTTTAAATTACAAAGCCGATCCATGTTCTTTGAAAAAAATGCAAGTGAAATGTTTTTAGTATTGATGTGTAAGCTTCCTTCAAATTAGAGATATAATTCTTGTACAACATTTGGTGCAGATGTGTTTCCAAACATACTAAAATTTCAATGAATGACTCCAAAGAAGTTTAAAAAACAAAAAAAGAAAAAGAAAAAATGCAGGTGACACTAGGAAGCATATAATGTAAAAGGTGTAGGTCCTCCCTTTAAAACTTCCCTATTTTCACTCTCTGGGCACAAGTTCTTCTAACACTTTGGAGAACATCCTTCTGACGACCTTTTGCTCTGCTACATTTAGCTATACGGAGTTATGTGTTTTATTTACATATAATTCTGTTTCAAAATGGTCATCAGAGCATACATCTTGTTTTGCAACATGCTGTTTTCTCCCCTTCTGGTGCATTTTTTCATAGTAATCTCTAGATTTTATTTACGTTTTTTATTTAACCTTTTTATTTTAAAATGATTGTAGGGTCACGTGCAGTCATAAGAAATAACAGAGAGAGATTCTGCCTATGCTTTTCCCCAAAGATAGCACCTTGAAACACTGTAGTACAATATCACAACTAGGATGATGATATTCATACAATCTGTCCATCTTCTTCCATTTCTCCAGTTTTACTTGTACTCTTTGTGTATATTTCATGCTATGCAATTTTGATCACGTTTAGGTTTGTGTACATACCGCCAAAGTCAGGATACAAAACAGTTCCTCACTCTCTCTTATTGCATTTTAGATAATGGAATTTACCATCTTCAGGAACACCCACTTCTCAGGATGAGGCACGTATGTAACTAAAGCCCACTTTCAATCACTGGAGCAGAGCTGTCCAAGAGAAAATACAAAGTGAGCCACAAATGAAAGTCACCTATGTAATTTAAAAATTTCTAGTAACCACATTTAAAAGGTAGAAAGAGGTAAATCTGATTTTAATAATATGTTTCACAAAACCCAGTATATCAGACGTAGTATTTCAACATGCGATCAATGTAAACATTATTAATGAAATAGATTACATAATTTTTTTTTTTTTTTTTTTTGGTAATAAGTCTTTGAAACTCCACAAGCCCACTTCTCCACCAGCTGCAGGTAGAGAGCATGTTCTGAGCACCTGCCACGTTCTTGGCTCTAACTTAGGCACTGGGACAGAGACACAGTTCCCACCCTTGAGGAGAACCCGGGCTGGTGGAGACTACAGGTGCAGTTCTAACCCGGTGAGATGTGCACGTGGTAGAAGGCGCATAGGTGCCCTAACACCCACGGGAGGATCCATGGGGCCTGCCCTCAAACTCGGTGCAGAGCCCGAGGACCCCCAGAAGGAGGCTCACGTGTCTGGGTGGAAGCGATGGCTTTAGTAAGATGGGAGCTCCAGGAGTGGCTCTTTGGAGAGCAGGCGGGGTGCAGTTTGGGGAGAACCAAAAAGACTCCCCTGGCCCCAGGGCAGATGGATGCTGGGCTCGGGAGGCAGGGGAGGGCGCTTGGCTGGCGGCTGAGGTTTCCCTGGTTATTGAGGATACTAGGACCATGGACAATTTTACCCAGGCCGGAGAGTGTGTGGGAGTTATAGGTAGGGGAGGTGGAAAGGTGGTGAGCGGACACTACCTGGGGCGTCAACATTAGGCGATGCCAAGGAGAGCCAGGGAAGACCCGAGGTTAGAGGAGTGTGGGGCCTGCGGGCCTGAGTGAGAGGGTCCTGGGGCTGGGCCCGTGGTGCCGGAGGCGGCCCAGCTGCCCAGGCCGTGCTGCTCGGAGGTCACAGTGGGTGATGGGCTGTGCCCTGGCTGCGCCCAGGGATGGCCCCGCCGTTGGGTAGGTGGCGGGCCGCGCGGTGGCGCGGGTTCGGGCTCTTCAGGACCGAGTTCGAAGCCCCTTGTCAGTGTTGAGGTTCGGAGAGGGCGCAACCTCCCTTTCCCTAACCTTCCATTCCATCCCCACCTTTACGTAATTTCCCTTTAGCTTAAAATTTCACTTTGTTAAACATACACTCACATCACACACACCATTCTCCCAGCTGCCGTAGGAGTTGCAAGGAACGTACGGCGCCCCGACATCCAGGAACCCCAGAGGCCAGGATTCCTGACAGTCCAGAGCCCCGGGGGTCAGGACCCTGGGGCTCTCACTTGGCCCGCGGGTAAGCCCCAACCTCCAGCGTTTCACCGGCTCCCGGCTTCCGCGCGGCCCTAGAGGGCGGGGCGGGGCGGGGCGGGGCGGGCGCGGGGGGCGTGGCTTCCGCGCGGGCCGGAGGCGGGGCGGGGCTTCCGCGTGCAGCCGCCCGAGCCCCTCCCCCATCGACCGCCCGCGCTCGATTGCTTTTGTCTGGCGGCGGCAGCATGGCGGCGGGGGCGGTTGAGGTGGCGGCTGCTGTTGTGGAGGTCGGCTCAGCCGGGCAGTTTGAGGAGCTGCTGCGCCTCAGAGCCAAGTGAGCGGGACGGTGGGCGGCAGGGATGAGGGGACGCGGCGGGCCGGCCGCGACGGCTGCCCGGCTCCCTAGCACCCGGCCCGGCCTGGGCGGAGCGGCCGGCGCGGCCCGGACCCCGCGGCCAGGTCCCCGCCCCGGAAGGGGAGCGGGGTCCATCGCAGACCCCCGGCCCCGGCCCTCCGGGCGCCCCGAGGCCCGGGTCCCGCCCTGCCGCCCGGCCCGGCCTCCCTGGGCGCGGCGACGCGGGGACTCAGCCGCGGGTCGCGGGTGGGCACGGAGACCCCGGCCCCCGCCCGCTTCGTCACGGGCCGGAGGCGGAGGAAGGCCTAGCTGGGTCGGCGGTCCTGCCTCCTTTCCGAGGGGCGTTTAAGGGTGTTGGTGATGGGGCAGAGCGCACTGTGTGGCACTGTCTGGGCTGAGGACGCGGGTCTCCTGTTTCCTGGACGGGCTCAGCCGCGGTCCGTTCTGGCTTGGCGCACGTGCCTCTCGCCCTTGGGACGGCGTCTGAAGGAGACCCACCGGGATGCAGAGGCCGGGCCTGGGGGAACACATGGAAACCCGGAGCTTGCGAGTCAGCGCCGGCGGGCAGGCATGGGGCCGGCGGGCAGGCATGGGGCCTCCGCAGCAGTCTCGCGGCTTCCGCTGGCCGAGCTCTCGGGGGCTGGGCGGTGTCTCGGGGCATGGCCGGTGGGGGCGGCGGAGCGCCAGCCGATTGCCAGGGAGCGAGCTCCAGAGCCGCTGCGCACGTTTCATAACCAGGCTTCAGGAGTGTTCTCTGCGGTGAGAGGGGTAGGACAGTGCCCACCCGGGGGTGTGGGGGCGGACACGCGTGCTGCCTGTCCTCGCGGCGCCTTCGCGCCCGGGCTCTTCTGTGTGCGGCGGCGCGGCTGCGCGGGCTCGCTGGCAGTGGAAGCGTATCGGCGAGAGTGCAGGAGCTGATCGCGGTTGGAAGCGGGTAGTGAGTACGCTGGCGAGCAGCTGAGCTGCGGAGTGCGGGTGCGATGGGAGAGTTCCCGTCTGGCTTCGCCGCCGTGCTGAAGTTAAAGGTGTTCACCAGAGCCGCTCTTTCGGCATTTCCGGTCTTGCTGGGAAACTGCCAGAAACGGGCGAGTGGGGCTGGGCGGGGGGGGGCGCGAAGGGAATGACGTGGACTCATTCATGAAAGGTGATTCATCCAGCGCTCCCCCCATCTTACGGCGGCCCACTTATGGAGTGCCCCAGAGGCGGCGTCTTGAAAGGAGCAGGGCTCGGTTGGACCTGCCCTTCGTAAGTGTTCAGTTCACGGTCAACTGGAGGACTATTTTGCTTTTTGTATGTTTCACATTTTTTATTTTATGTATCGTTTTTTAAAGAAAAAAGTCATTGAGACATCACAGTTGGAAAAAGTTTAAATGTTAATTCTTGCCACTGGCCCGTACTTGAAATGATCCGGACACCAATATACCTTTTTCGTGGTGATGAGTTTAAATGGGCACATGGGAAGGAAGTGATGCTTGGCATCTGCGGAAGGAACAAATCTCTGCTACTTTTGGTGAAAATGGCAGCATTTCAGAATATTAAATAGTACTTGTTAATGTAGTTACTCAACGTCTACTTTACAAATCTTCACTTCCCAGTATTAAAATTTCATGTGAATTGAAAATTTTTTTGCTTAAGTCAAATAATCAGACGTTTATATGTTACTGAAATCTCAGTTGGTCTATACAGTGGGGATATTAATACCCATTTACAGAGTAATTAAGGTTCTTACCCATTTGTAAAATATTTAACAGAGTCTAATATTATATGATCTTAATAAATGGTAGCTGGTGTTATCTGCAGAGGAATAACTATAAGAGAACACCTGTAATAACAGAGAAACAACCATTTATCAATCACTAATTATCTTACTGAAAAAAAACCAAGGTTTATTACATTGTTTAACATCAGAGTAGTTAGGATTTGAATCTCATCCTTCTCTAAAGGTTTTCCTTCAACAATGCACCCTGCATATTGGGCTGTCCATGAAGGTGGAGAGAATACTTACATATAATCCAAGAGAGGGTGACAGCGTTTATGTTTGTTTCAGGTTTATGTCCTTATGATATTAGGCATCGTGTACCTAATTGGAAAGTGGAAGTTAAGCATCTAAATATGAGAATATTGTGAATAATGTAAAATAACAACATTAATATCATTCTGTAATGTTTTCAAAGTGCTTGTATATTTTTGTTTGATCTTCCCAACCTCCCAGGGTGTTACTGCTGTTTTACAGATGTGGAAGTTAAGTTAAATTACTCTTTCAAGCCACATTTGTAGTAATGGAATTTAAGTTGTGTATGTGTACTTTTTTCTTTTCTTTTTTGCTTACGTTGGCACATACTGTTACAAAGTTTGGTAACTTATTTTAATTTTTTAAAAATGTACTCATTGTGAGCATTTTCCCATGTCATTAAACATTCTTTGACACACGATTTTTAATGGCTTTATGATATTTTATTGTATGACCGTTAAGAAAACTATCTTGTTGAACAATAGATTTTTACAGTTATTTGCTCTGTAAAATACTGGGAAAATATTCATATACGTACATTTTTGTCTCTTTAATGACTTCTGTAGGATAGATACTTGGGAGTGTGTAAGTATCTTGAAATTTCAGGAAGGTTCCAATTTAATTTTTACCGATAGGATATGAAAGTGCCATCTCACTTTATCCTTCTTTTCATTGAATATTATGATTTTAAAAATCCTTTTTTCAGTTTGGTAAAAAGTGGTATCTAACTTTTAAAAGATTGAGGTATTAACTTATATACTGTAGTAAAATGCACAGATCTTAATTGCTGGGTGTGATGAATTTTGACATTTGTATTAACACAAGTAACCATCATTCAGGACAAGAATATAGAGCCCCAGAACGCTCTTTTCAGTAATCCCCCACCAGTGATCTGCTTTCTGTCACTGTAGATGAGTTGTGCCTCTTCTTTTACTTTATGTAAATGGAGTCGCAGAACTCGTGGTCTTTCATGTCTGGGTTGTTGTGCTCAGTGTGTTTTGGGGATTCATCCATGATGCCGTGTATCTGTAGTTGGTTCCTTTTTTATTGCCGAGTGGTATTCCGTTGTGTTAATATACAGCAGTTTCTCCAGTTTGTGGACATTGGGTTACTTGCAGGTGTCGGCTGTTATGCGCCAGGCTGCTGTGAACATACCTGTGCAGTCGTTTTGTGGGCCTGTCTTCCTTCCCACCATCCCTTAGGCCTCAGAGGCCCCCCGCCACGCTGTGCAGAAGCTCTGCGAGAGGAGGCTGGAGTAGGCCGAGGCTCACACGGGAAGCTTTGCAGGGCCAGATAGCTCACTTCTGCCCTGCATCCCACTGGCCACAGCTCAGTTCCAGGGCCCCAGCCTGGGACACAAGCGGGACCCAAGCGAGACTGAGAGGTGTGGTCTAGCTGCATGCCCGAGAGGAAGAGGCAGCAGGGATTGGTGAAATACTTCCTCCATAGTCTCTGCCCACCTACCCACACGCTGAAGCTCCTGCCTTCTGCTGCTGCACTTGGAACCCATGGAGTAGGGGCCCTGCCATGTGTCCTTTCCCACCTTAGGCGGCTCTGCCTTTAGAGCCTCCTGCTTTACTCTTGTGTGCCCCGGGCAGCCCTCCCGTCTTCCTCGGTCCTGTCTGTGACCCCTGTCCTCCATTTTCCTTCGTTTCAGCACATGACCTTGCTTCCTACCTGGAAAACAGGACTTCCAGAAGCATCTTCCAGAGCTCTTCTTCGACTTGCCCCTCCCCCGACACCTACACATTTACTTGTCGCTTCACCCATTCTTGATTCCTGTGCTCCTGACCCGGAGGAGATTGTCCCTCTTCTCAAGGCGAATTCTTCTCTGCTCTCAGCTTCCCTCTCCTGCCACCTTTGAGACCTTGAATCCTTAGCTGTCTCTCGTGTCTTCAGCCTCTCCCTCCCCATTTGCACTCTGTCCCCTCACAAAATAAACGATGAAAGTTCTCTTGTATTGAAAAAAGCCCATTCCTTGATCCTGTCTTCATCCTTGCTCTCTCTCTGTTTACAGCCCAGTCTCTTACAGAGTAGATTTCTAGCCATCTCTGCTTCCTCATCCTCAGTCCAGTGGTCTGCACGCTGCTTCTGTCGTCCACTGGACTTAACTCTCACTGTTGCTTGTTGCCCTTCCTGCTGCATTTGATGATTGTCTCTCCTTCCTTCTTGACTTCTGGGAGACCCTAGAACCTTGCTGTGTGCCTTTTAGGTTCCTTCTCTGGTCTACCACCAGGGCTCCTTTACTGCCATCTGTCCTAACTTAGTGTTGATGAGCCCCAGAGGCTCTGCCCTCGGCCTCCTCTTTATCCTCCTGCGTGGATGAGCATGCTGCCGGCACTGTTTCTTGATTCCCAGATCTGCAGATCAGGCATGGACTTCTTTCCTGAGCTCCAGACTATCACAGCCCACTAGACTTCCTTTCCTCTCAGGTTGGCAGCTTCTGTACTGTGATTCGTGGCTAGTGCTATCACTAGCCATCAGTCACTAAGCCAGGAAATTGGAGGTACTGAAATTTAGACTGCTTCAGTGCCACCAAATCCTGCCCCCAGCTCTCTGAAGTCCCTAGTGCCTCCCTCGGCTTCCGGCCCCCAACACTGCATGGTAGGCTCCTCCTTCTCTCAATACTTAGCTCACATGAGCCAAGTATTCTATTCCTTTCCTTGCCCAAGGTTAGTTGTCCTTGTTTCCTTTCTCCGTGTAACATATTTTTCAATGTATTTTCTTCCTGGGTTTTTAGATTTCAGTCAAGGGGGATTATATTTGAATTTGGAATTCTGTAAAACTGAAGGGTTTTTCAGTTGGGTATGAGGATAGAATTAAATATATCTTTGTCAAGATAATTTTATATGAAAATAGTTGATAGATACATACTCAGATTCTTGAGAATTTCATTGACAATTTATTAATGGCTATCGTCTGTTCATACTGTCAATTTTTAGAAAATCTTCTGTAGCATAATAAAAGTATGTGAAAAGCAGTTCCCTTTTTTTCCCTTTGTTTTCTGCTTATATACCTTCATTTGCAACTTTTTTTTTTTTTGCGCTACGCGGGCCTCTCACTGTTGTGGCCTCTTCCATTGCGGAGCACAGGCTCCAGACGTGCAGGCTCAGTGGCCATGGCTCACAGGCCCAGCCGCTCCGCGGCATGTGGGATCTTCCCGGACCGGGGCACGAACCCGTGTCCCCTGCATCGGCAGGCGGACTCTCAACCACTGCGCCGCCAGGGAAGCCCTGCAACATTTTATTTCTGTTCCTATGGTCACTTCATCACAGTACCATGTCTAAAAAGTAAATACTAACATGAGTAGTAGTAACGCATATGCAGTCATTTTTCACAAACGTGCCTTGACTACAGAAATCTAGTTTCCATCTTTCTTTCCTAAGGGTCTCAAAATAGAGTTAATTTATGTGGCTAGTAGTTGAGGTGGATGAATATTCAGAACCACTTCATGTGAGCTGAGTATTGACTCAAGAAATATCATTAACTTGAAAATTCATCCAAAAGATTCTCAAGACCTTGCAAGTTGTTATATTTCTCTCTGTGTTTAATATAACAAGATTCTAGCAGTACAAAAACAATTCAGGTGGTCCTTGTACAGGTTTCTTTGCTAATAGAATTTGATCTGCATTAGTATTTGCTTATTTCTAAAGCTACCGTATTTTTAAAAACTGCATTTTATGGATTTACAGGTCCCTCCTTGTAGTCCATTTCTGGGCACCATGGGCTCCACAATGTGGTCAGATGAACGACGTGATGGCAGAGCTAGCCAGAGAACACCCCCAGGTTTCATTTGTGAAGGTACTGTATTTTCAGTGTCATGTCTTTTAAGAATTTAATTCTGATTTATGGGTTAGACTACATTTTATTAACATATAAGGGAGGACTGGTGTGGGATTCCTCATGTTCATAGCTGGTGTTGGGATCACAGTAGATTATTCTTAAACATCTTAAAATGGTTTTGCATTTTTCAACTACCGAGTGGTGTAAAACTCACCACACTTTCCCCTGACACATGCTTGGTTGGGAGGACAGGATGGCAGTCGGGGGAGTGTCTACGTGGGCAAAAAGCAGATGAGAGCATTCATTTTGGGGAATTGTGGTTTTAATATAGTAAAGATAGTAACAAGACTTACTTCATTGAAAAGCTAGGTGTGACATGGAAAGTGATTCAAGAAGGAGTGTGTGAAGGCTGCTGTAGGGACCGGGGCAGTAGGAAGAGCTTGCTGTCGGGGCCGGGGAGGTGCAGACCTGCAGGAGAAACTGAGTTCTTCTGACCTGCCAGGAAGCAGAGGAAAAGCAAGCCAATCTTTCCCTTGCTGCCTTTTTTTTTTTTTACCCTGTTGTGCATGCTCTGCATTCCTAGTATCTTTTTTGGGTAGGCAGTACTAGGAAAGTGAGAGTTGTGACTGGATTAGCTCACTTGGTTTAAGCACATTTAACGTTATCAGTCAGGACTTAGTACTCATTTAAGCAGCAGGGCCAAAATAAAAGCTGGATATCTTAGAAATGAAATTTTGGGAAGGGAGAAAGCTGAATCCTTAGTATTTAAAAAAGCAGACAGGAAACCAAAGCTTTAAATTTTTAAAAATAAATTTATTTATTTATTTTTGGCTGCATTGGGTCTTTGCTGCTACGCGTGGGCTTTCCTCTCGTTGTGGCGAGCAGGGGCTACTCTTCGTTGTGGTGCGTGGGCTTCTCATTGCGGTGGCTTCTCTTGTTGCGGAGCACGGGCTCTAGGCGTGTGGGCTTCGGTAGTTGTGGCACGCGGGGCTCAGTAGTTGTGGCTTGCGGGCTCTAGAGCGCAGGCTCAGGCTCAGTAGTTGTGGCGCGTGGGCTTAGTTGCTCCACGGCATGTGGGATCTTCCCGGACCAGGGCTCGAACCAGTGTCCCCTGGATTGGCAGGCGGGTTCTTTTTTTTTTTTAGCGGTACGCGGTCCTCTCACTGTCGTGGCCTCTCCCGTTGCGGAGCACAGGCTCCGGACGCGCAGGCTCAGCGGCCATGGCTCACGGGCCCAGCCGCTATGCGGCATGTGGGATCTTCCCGGCCCGGGGCACGAACCCATGTCCCCTGCATCGGCAGGCAGACTCTCAACCACTGCGCCACCAGGGAAGCCCGGCAGGCGGATTCTTAATCACTGTGCCACCAGGGAAGCCCAAAGCCTTATTTTTTAAAACCAGGGTTTGTGAGTTCAGAGGATATGTTGGCAAGTATACCTGTATATGGGGTTAAAAGTGACATCAACTGTATTGCTTGTATGTAGCTTTTTATGTAAACTGAAGACCCAGAATTCTGACATGCTAATCCATTTGTATAGTGAGTGATATAATTTTCAGACAGTTTCTATATAAATAAGTGTGCTTTGAATAGGTATTGCACTTAGATGGTTCAGAAATCAAAACAGTATACAAAGATGTACTTTGAGAAGGTCCGCCCCACTCCTTCCCCTGTCAGCCCTGTTGTCCCATCCCGTAAGTAGCTGCTTGTATTAATTTTGCATGAATCCTTCTGGTGTTTCTTTATGCAGATAGAGCAAGTATGAATACAGTGGTTAGCTTTTTAAAATTTAAGGACTTATTTAAAATTCCAATGAAATGTGTAATGAAACCTTAGAGTGTAACCCTAAAATGTTCATTATAAATAATGGAAGGGAACATTAAAACTGCATGTTTGGTCAGTGATAAAAGATAATGATTACAAGTGAAATGAATGATTAAACATTCGATCATAAGATTAATCAAGATGATGGTAATTGTTGTAAGTCTGCTTTTATGTGTATAATGTTACTGGTTTAAGTAGCACATTGTTCTTAGCTGCCATTTGAATGATTTATTTAAAGTGACTATAGAATTACTTCTCACATTGGTACCAAACTTGGCAGTGAGACTTTAAGTTGTTCAAGTGCTTAAGTGTCTCAGCAAGCCAAGGGTTGGGAAGCCCTTATCTGTTGGGGATACCTGAACCCAACTGTACCTGCCATTCACGGAGAGGGTGACAGGGCTAGGTGGGTAGTTTGCCCAGGTCGTTACTTTCTGCAAATTCATTCTGTGGCATAGTTTTTCTTGCTTAGACATCCTCAAAGGTAAAGATCATGTGTGTAGAATTTCGAAGGTAGGTACTTTTAAAGGCCACAGTGCTGAACAATAGTTAGCCCAGGAGAGGTAAAATATTTGAGAGATCTCTTGGCATTTCCCAGTAAGAGAGGCATGTGGTTCATTTCAAAACAGCTTTCTCAGTGAGAGCTTTGTGAAACTTCTAGGGTATAGAATTGATGTTCTACTACCCTCTGTTTCTTTTGATTTCTTGGTCTTTTTTTTTTTTAAATGACAGCCATCATTCAGCATTTTTGACTTGACGTATAAGAGGTTAGTTCATTCTATGACTTAGATTTACAGAATCATTATATAGATGGTTTTAATCACAGTTTGTGATCATCAGCATTTCCTTATTTTGTAGAAGATGGTAAAATAATACCGGAGAAAAGCTAGCATACACTTTAGGTCCCAGTAGTTTGTGCTCATTGGAGTAGGTTTTGCTGAAAGGCAAGATTTTCACATGTATTGCATCTGAATCCCTTCCCTTCCTGGACTGATGATATGGTAATAAAGTACCTGTGCTCCTTCCTGGTGCCATGTTTAGGCCGTGTGCTGGTTGCACTCACCTGCATCGGCTGCCATGTCCAGTCAGGTCCTGGGGCTGTGTCCCACCCTGATGTTCTCACACCTCCAGGGGCATGGAGGAGATCCATGAGTTATTTCTATTGCTGGAGGTCTCACAGAAACCTTCGTTTGTTCAGAATAAAATTAACCAGCTAATTAAAATATCAAGTGCTTTTGCTTTTCAAATTATGTAAAGTCAGTTTGTTAGCACTTTAAAATGGGAATACATGTTTATCATTAAATCAAATTGTTTGGTAGATAGACTATTTCAGGATAGTTTCTGGTAGGGGGTGAGAAGGAGGAAGAATAGTATTGGGTCATGAAATTGGGTACCACTAGTCATATTCATGGTCCAAGTCAAATCCATCTTTTTTTTTTTTTTTTTTTTTTTTGCGGTACGCGGGCCTCTCACTGCCGTGGCCTCTCCCGTTGCGGAGCACAGGCTCCGGACGCGCAGGCTCAGCGGCCATGGCTCACGGGCCCAGCCGCTCCGCGGCATGTGGGATCTTCCCGGACCGGGGCACTAACCCGTGTCCCCTGCATCGGCAGGCGGGCTCTCAACCACTGCGCCACCAGGGAAGCCCTCAAATCCATCTTTTAATAGGAGTGGCAATTTATTTTTAAAATTTTGTAGTTGATTTTATTATTTTATTTTTTAAGTAAAGATTTTGTGTATTTAAGGTGTACAGCATGATGATTTAAATCAAGTCCATTTTGTGTGAAGTCTTTCTTGTGTACCTCTGTGACTCCCCCCCCACCCCCCCTTTCCTCTCTCTCCGAACTTAGTCTGTGCCATTGTTTGGACTGTTAGTCGGGGAATATCTTGTATCTTCATCTGCTCTGTCATTTTGTTCCCATTTTGTTGGCTTCTTGACTAGATGGTGGGATACTTGAGGTAGGGACCTTTACCTTACCATGTTTTTTTTGTTGTTGTTTGTTCCTTTTTTGTTTTTGTTTTAAATTCCTTTCCTTTGTGCAGGTGGGAGCGGAGAATACTGATCAGTTTATTTGGCATCTTAGAGAGCATGTGTAGGATTCCATTTTTTAGGAACTCTAAGGTGTCTCTCAGATAATTCTAGTAGAATTATTACATCTTAAAAATATCCTAGTTTTTATCGATGCTGTCTTGGTAATAAAATAATACCACAATTAGCATAGTTTATTAGCTGTTACTGGGCTAAGTTTGGCAAAGTGTTGAAAAAATGTTATCAAAAATGTTAATTTAAATACTATTTTGAAATTTATATTTGACTATCTGACAAATAAAGAATTTGATTTTGAAATTTTTTCCTTTTGTATCGTCACAGGGCAGAAAGAAGCCCTGTAGGAGGTATGACAGAATGTCCCGGAATGTCAGGTGGTTTTGTTTGTTTGCTTGTTTTATTGAAATATACCTGATTTATACTGGAATGTCGAGTTTCATCATTCTGGCTTTAACCTTGGAGGCTCATTGCCACCACTGGCAAGTAGTCATTCCCATTTTGGCTTAGGAATAGTGACCACTGTTAGTTCAATATTCTGTTCAAAATTTATTTCTTGAACCCTTAATTATATGCCACACAGTATGCTAGTTACTGGGAATGTGGAACAGTAAAGGTACAGACAGTAAATGGGTAACACATAGTACCAAGGTAATTTCAGGTGGTAGTAAGTTCAGCAAAAGAAATGAATAGGCAGGTTATGAAAGATGGGGACTTGGGTGGGTGGGGTGCTTTATTTAGGTTGGGCTGAAAAGGTGTATCTAATAAGTGAGAGTTAAAAAATGAGAAGGTGGCAGTCATTGGAAGAGCTGGGAGAGAGCTTTTAGGTAGAGGCTTAGCAAGTGCATACTTTAGAGGATCAGCAGTTGGCCAGTGGGACTGGAGGATAGTGAAGGAGGAGAGGCTCTGACATGAAGTCGAGAGGTAGGCAAGGGCCGAGTGGCCTTGTGGGCAGTGGTCAAGTTTTGGTTTTATTCCAACTACAGTAGAAGTGACATAGTCTGATTCCTAAGTCGATTACTGTGGCTGCCATGTGGAGAATGGTTTGAAGGGGGTAAGGGTGCAGCCTAGAAGCAGGTATACTAGTTAGGAGGCTATTTCACTGGGCCAGGTGAGAGATGCCTTGGACACTAGTGGGGAGAGTGTTGAAGTAATGTTGTGGTCTGAGTCGGCTTGTATTTTGGAGGGGGGCCCCCAGGAGACCTGTTGATGGATTGGATGTCAGGGGTGAAGGAAATAAGATTCGTCAAGGTTGTCTCCTTTTTGATTCGAGCAAGTAGATGGCTTAAATGAGATAGGGATGCCCTGGGGGGGAACAGGTTTAGTGGGAGATACCCAGTAGGGATCTGAGTGCAGATGTCGAGTGTGTGGCTTGGAGGCGAGAGGAGCGGTCTGGCCTGGAGAGAACTTGGGTGGCAGTACCATATTGGTACTCCTTAGAGCAGGGGGTTGTGTGAGACCGCTCTAGGAAAATGAGTGTAGGTGAGAGAAGCAGACTCAGAACCAAGTCCTGGGATGTGCAGCCACGTAGTGGTTGGCCAGAGGTGAAGGAAGAAGCCAGGGATTCAGTCTGAGAGTTGGAGGAAAAGAAACCACAGAAAGCCAAGGGAAGGGTATCAGAGAAAGTGGGTGTGGTCATCCTTACTGAATGATACTGAAAGGTCAGTAAAATGAAGAAAAAAGGCATAACCATTGAATCTGGTGAAGTGGCAGCAGGGCCGCGGAGAGTGGAGTGAGGCTCTGGAGCCAGACTGCCTTGCTCCACCGCCCAACGGTGGTGTGCTCTCGACCATGTTACCTAGCCTCTTGAAGTTCCAGTTTCTTCCTTAAGACAGCACCTACTGTGACGATTAAGTGAACTCAGTGCCTGAATGTACTTAGAATGGTGTTAGCCATTATCATCACGATGGTCAGTGGTGACCCTGGTAAATTGAAGGAGATGATGCAGAATTCCCTTCCTCTGGACTCATCTTGCTTTAGTAACACCTCCCTGCCCTCCTCCCCATTCTCCACAGACACAAAGCATGCTGCGTGGGGAGGGTCCACGTTTGAGATTCACGGTATAGGAAGCACATGGTTCCCCCAAAGGCCTTCCGGCTGGAAATCCATTCTGGAAGTATTCGTGTCTGTTTTGTCCTGAAGTCATGTATAAGTCCTATCTTTGAAACTTGATTATTTCTTGTTTGATTGTTGTAGTAGAAAAGTTAACCATAGTATAGTGAAAAAAGCACAGGCTTTGTAGTCAAACAAACATGGGTTTGTTTCTCAGCCCTGCTGCTTATTAACTGTGTCTGGAGTGACCTCTTTACCTGGCTCCCTGTGAAGCTGAGATGATTACATGCCCCATACTTCCCAGGCTGTGACAGGTCTAGGTGCTGTCATGTAAAGGCATGTCGTGGTTTATGGCACAGAGCAGGCCTCCAAGGAAGGTATTAGCTCTTTATTGGCCATCTTTGGTCTCTTCGGAATGCAGAAGAAAATTAAAATTAAAATTTTTTAGTATTTATACATTTATCTTCTGCTTCCATTGTTATTAACGGTTATGTTGTCTTACATCCAACAGAAGTATTTCTAAAGAGTTTTAGTGTTGTGAAGGTTTCGGACTTCAGGTGCCCTTGATATTCTGGGGAACGGCTTTGCCTTTAATGGGGCTCCTGGCCCAGGCTCAGGAGGATTTGCCTGTCACCGTTGCCTGTGTCTTATTAAGGTCTTGTCTTCTGGGAGCTCATTTAAGGGAGGCACGTGTAGCGATCCTCCTGGCTTCAGCAGGAATTTCAAGAGCATCATTTGCTTCCCAGAAGAGTTGTCAGTAAGGGACCCTACTGGAAACCAGCGGGAATATGAGAAGAGATCAAGTTTCAAAAGCGAATAGGAATTTGATTTTATGAGTCAGGATGCTGCTTGTTTTGTTCTGGCTCAAAACTCTATTATCTTGTTTCTACTTAGTGTCGCCTGGGTTTGGATTTGTATTACTTTTCTGTTAGAATCCAGGAGTGCCTGCGATGGGGATCTTCACTGAGCCTGGCCCAGTCAGTGCCCAGTGTGTGGTGGGCACTCACCAGATGTTAGCCGAAAGACAGACAGTGATGCGCTGCCTTTGTCATCACCTTTGTGCTCTTCTTTGGTCTGAGTGTGGAACTGTATGAAGGAATATGGCACAGAAGTTTCTTAGGTTTTAGAAAGAGTG